GCGCCTTTCACTTGGCCATCGGCAGTATTTATTATTTAGACGAAAATATGTCTGAACAACTACAGCAAGCATTTCTTTGCTATGTATCATAATTATAGCATACTGACCATTACTCTTGTATAGCAAGACAATATTCTGCACTGATGCTCTGGCACTGTCTTCTGATTTCGATCTTTTCTAGAACATTCACTGTACACTGACGACCAGTTCCTCCTAATAATCTTCGTGATGTATTTGTATAATAATGTGCTTTGTAAAATTACTGCTTTCATAATTTCCTGTGCTGTTTTTTCTTTTTTTTTTTCTTCTGTTCAATAAAACATAACAATGATCAAAAAGTGAGCGTCGCAGCAACCATAAAAATTGATTTCATTTGCTGCTCTTTCGCAATTTTTTGGAAACTTCATTTTAGGATCATTCCAGTGGGCAAGAGAGGGGAGAGGAAGTTATCGAATCGGAAATGAAAATAACAAAGTGATAGAAACTGTTAACACAGAAAATCACGTTTTGCTTGTTCTTTTTCTTGCAAACCTCTCGTTTGACGTCGGGTATCTCCACGAGCTGCATCTAGTGCTAATTGTTCTGTGTTGCCTTCAGCAACATCGGTAAGGTTTTTTTGCGTAAAACAGTTCATAAACGAGCAGAGTGAGCCTGACTGCAGCAACTAAATTCGATCTCCACAGCCACGAACATAACATAAAAAAACTCCTGGGCCGCAACGCACTGGGCTTGCCGGTGCAATCATACGTTTTTGCGCTAAACCTGTAGGTGATTAACAGCAAGAATAGTTCCTGCAGTACAGTTTAACAGGGGATCATTTTGGCTATGTTTTAGCCTCTTTTCGCATGCCGGAGAGAGGCGTCAGCTGGAATAGAGGACTTGCATTATGAGGCTGTGTGAGCCTTCAACGCGCATGGTTTTTTGCATGAAACCCGGTCGGTTTTCCGGTGAATACTCGCTCAGTGAAAAAGTGCAAATATGAATGAAATCGGAAAAGAATTATAAAATCTGCGAAATGCATTCGCTTTTAAGTGCAAATCGGAACTCAGTTTATGTGTATGGTTTTCTGTACGAACGACAAATATTCCAATAGAATTTCAGCTACTGTTTTCCGGCTAGTTTTCGAGTTGGCACAGTGTCAACTGCGAAGGCAAGTACGACAGCTGTGTTTGAAATCTTTAGTTCATGCACGCGTAAAGAATACCTGCAGTGTTTCAACTCTCTATCTTGTCTGGTTCATGAAATTGTCCCCCCCCCCTCCCCAAAAAAAAAAATTCGCTTTTTTTCGGAGGTCCGTACGCGAGATCTAGGCGCGTATGAGAGAAGAATTTAGAACGAGAGGGTGACATATGGGTGGGGATATGACCTAAAAATTTCAGCTTCCCAGGATTCTTGGTTGCTGAGTTGAAAGTGGGTGACAAAGTTCACTCTCTTCCGAACATACACACACGGACGACTTCTCGAAGACATCCGCTTTCGTTCACTGTAGCAAAGTTATAGCGCTGTACAGCAAAAACTTATGAAAGCGGATAAAAAATTCCAAACACAGAGTGCTCCTATTTCTGTAAACATATAAAGAAAAGTGCCCAGGTTTTGCTTGGACACAACAGAAGCAAATCCTGAAGTGCAAATTACTACTATACTAACTCACAACGGCGGAACATAAAATAGCGCCGCACACTAGGGTACCAGGTGCTTAGCAGGCCTGGAAGGGTGCCTAGCAGACCGATCCCCATTCCATCCCCAGTCCCCATCCCCAACCTCCCTCCACACCCCACCTCCATCCACAC